CTTTTGCTCTTTGTTCAGATAAATGTTTATTTTCTGCTCTGGCGCTCTTCTGTCTGATGTTTTTTTCCTTTCTTTTTAACAAATCTTTTTCTATACTGGCTTTAGTTTTACTGGCTAAAGAAGTTGTACTTAAAGTTCTTTTCCAGAGACAACCTCACCAGTCCCCTTACCATATTCACATGCCTTTTCTTGCACCTGCTTCCATGTCAAACCACCTTTCCCCAGCCCTTTTTGGGCAACCAGAGCCGCAGACAAACACAAAGCCTTTGCCGGGGCATCTCATGCTTTTCTGTCTGTGAAACCAAGAAAAGGGGGGACCAACTTAGGGTCCATGCTTAACACTACTTCCTATGTCCTAAAAACGGCAATTTTATATCATATTTTATGTACATATGAAGTCCAGAAAGGTCTCACATCTGAGCCTCGTTTGGAAAGAACCACTTTTTGGGAAAACTGATGAGGAGGAATTTCAAGTGCTGAACGTGCCCACAAAGGCATAAAAGAACAGTGTTGCCTTCTCACAAAACATTAATTAAGAGCAAAATATTGTTGAAGTGTCTGGGCAGGCTATCCAAGAGCAAAGAGAAGTGAAGCCTTCACACAGGAGGCACAAGAAAAGCAGTAGGAGTAACCAATAATAAGAGCAGAAACCATAATGTCCAAAGCATCTTTGGCCTTTCTACTGAAACTCCTAACAGGTCTGGCAATTAACGCCATTTCCAGGAGAAAAAACCAGGAACTGACTGCAGAGCAGCAAGTCAATTCATCTGAGGCTTGGGGGAGCCATTGGATAGCAGAGACGTTTTGTCAGGGACATCCTTGGAGCCACTGCTGAGAGAAATACAAAGTGCTACAATAAAACATTGGCCCTTCGAGGCCTCCTGTTCCCTTAGTTTTAGTTAACAGTGGTTAACTACATTGGTAATGGTGTGATATTTCCCACAGAAGAGAGAAGGACCTAATGCAAGATCTTGCTACGTGCTACTTGCCTCAACATTTCAGCCTGTAAAGCCTTGTCACATCACATCAATTGTGAGGACACCTTCTGAAATTCCAGGTTTTCAGTAAAGCGCACTAGTGAGTCAGCTGTGTTTGTCAACCATCAAACACACGCTTTGCAAGTTATTTTACAGAAGACTCTTAACACAGATAGCTGTTATCAGTTGAAAGAAATCACAATAAATTCAAGGGCAATTGATATTTCTAAACGTCTACAATGACATCCTGCTTCTACTGAAGTTTAAATACAGCCAAGTTTACATAAGAATTACTAATAGGTTTTAAAGGTCATGCCTTTTGAATATATGCATATTGGACGTGTGAAACCTATTAGGCTGTGGTATTATTCAGCTCAGTGCTGAATTTGGATTAAGTGGTGTTATATTGATTTGATGAGCTGCTCAGATATGCTGAAGCTTTAATTGAATGTATTAGAAGATGTTAATTCTAACAGATACACTCTTAAAAGTAGTAGCTTAGTGATTTGAAATTGTTTTCTAGTACAGGCCTTTGCTAGTTTTCAAGAAAGAGGTATTTTGGAGTCCTTAATCTGAGGCTGCATGTTAGTAAATAGCTAAGGAGAGGTTCTTTCTTTTCCTTTCCAATATGAATGAATAACCTTTGAAAGCCAAAAGGGAATTGATGTAATCTATTGATTGCCGTTTAAATGCCTTTACAAGCTAATTAATGCAAAATGAAAAATGTTTCTGTGCAGAAACAAGCAACAACCATGAAAACAGAAGAAGGCTCATTTGGTTCTTAGATACACTGTGGGGGGACAAATGATGTGATGCAGAGTCACCAACAGGTAAGGAGTGTGAACAGTGCCTGCTGTGAAACTGTCATCAAAAATAGGCTGTCGTGCTGTAACTGTGGCAGCAATGTCACGCCGGCAGCGGTCATCGTGCACGCTTGAAACAGCAACGGTGTATCTGGCTTTAATCTACATAGCCGGGATAGTGGCTACCTGGGAGACACTGTGATGTTTAGGGAAACAGCCAACACTATAAAATAGGTCACTAGCTGGAGCCTGCCCAGGTCTGAAGTGGCTGAACTGCTACCAGTGACCATCTGCTCATCCGAAATGAGGTGTTGCTGTTGGTCCAGCTCCTAGCAGACAGGTATCACTGTAAAAGGAACGTTCAAAAGTGATCCTAGTTGGAAATGGGGTTGGCAGAAAGGAGCTATGATCTGAAGGCTCTAAAGGAGCTCCTTCTAGCACACGCAGACGAGATGGTGGGTATCTGAAGCTCATTTATGAGCAGTCCCTCTATGATGCATTAGAAGGCGACTTGTCCTTCCTGTTGTCAGTCTGGCACCTTTACCTGGCCAACAGCAGCCATTAAGATCAATACCTGACTCATATCTTTGTTTGAGAAGCATTTTAGCTCTACAGCTCTAGGAAGAGATGCACACATACAAGCTTCTGTATGGGATCTTGGAGAGACTCTGTCCTGCACCTCCTGTGTGCAGTCGTGGCCCAGCCACAAAGCCAAGTTACTGTTCTTGGTGCCTCTACACATGTGCTGGCCTCCTGCTCACAGCCAGGTAACTTCTCCCGTCTCTAGGGAGGATTTAGCTACCTCTCACACGCCACAGCCAGTGTGTGTACATACGCATAGGTAACCAGCGTAAGGACAGACTGCACTAACTTGCTGATGAGCCATCCCCTCAGTGAGGAATTTCCTTTCTCACTGGGCAGATGATCCTGATCCATTCAGGCAACTGTGGCTTAAATTGGTGAAATGCTGGTGGGGAATGGGCAGAGGAGGATATTCCCCTAACAGAGGGAATAAGCATCACACTGTACCCAGGAGAACTCACAGCTTTTTCTGACTCAGACCACTATCACTCCCACTGATGCTCTAGAGGTTGTGAGGAAAGAGCTTACAGGGAGAGAAGTCTCCCAAACCACGGAGCAGGCATAGGCTGCGCAGCAGGCGCTCAGAAACCAAGTGCCCTCTTAGAGTTATTTCAAGTTTCAGCCGTCATTACCATCTTATTAAGTAGCTAATAAAGACTGTACAATGAAGTATTTATGTGAACATATGCAAGTAATCTAAGGCAATGCTTTGCCTTTCTCAAATCAACTGAAGAAGACTCTAATTACAACAGTTTCATAGCTGCATCACTCTATTCAAATTAATTACTCTGCAAAAGTTCATACAACTGAAATTACGTTGTGTGCCTTGAGAACGCCCAGGAGAGAGAAGCACCACTTAGGGCCCATTCTCCTTCCCACTTGGCCCATCACTTTGTCCCGCTCCACCACCACCAGGGCTCTGCTCTCCTCCTTCCCTATCCGACTCCTCGCCCTGCCTGATGGTGCTGCCAGCTCTTGACAGATCATCCTCATTTACAGCCCCGCTTTCTCCAGCACCAGGAGAGCCACAGCTCGTCTCAAGACTATTTAACAGCACAACAAAGTATTCATACATTTACTAGACTTCGTATCCCTTCACATGAAACACTCATTCCTTTGATCTCTGGGTGAGAAGGGATTTCCTTGTTATGTCAAACTATTAAGGAAATGAAGAAACACCCCCACACAGTATCTTTTTCTGTATTAATGGTAATAAGGTATTCAAAAGAAGATTTCCCCTCCTAAGAACAGTATAGCAACTGTAAACAGCACCGATATTTGTAATCAAGTTGTGCTACCTCTTATGACAGGTCCCCTCAACTCATTTTTTGTGTGCAGATAGTACTGCCTCAGGCTGATAATGAAACGGAATTCAAATTTTTACACACTCACGTCACCCTTAAAAGGTCAGTGTTTATCTTACAGCATTTAATACAAACAGAAGCTGCTGTAACTTACCAGCCACCACAGTTAATTAAGAACTACTGACTGTCTATTTTTATGTAAAGACATTACATATAAGTAAGGCAGAATACAAAAGCTTCATAAAGCACCTTTGCTTTCACTTCCAGCTTTACATCAGATTTACACATACATGTATGCCAGCACATGGTCTTGTACCGAAATTTTACGCAAATTCAAGGAGCCCTCAGTACTTCATCAGCTTACAGCAGCAAGGTTTTTTTAATCTCTCTCCTCCCTCACATTTGCACCTGGCCAATATGCACAACAGCCAATAATTAGTCCTGCAGCACTGACCACTTTTCTATTAAAAACAAAAAACAAGCTGGTTTGAATGGCATCTGATTGGCACTGCTGAGAGAGAACCAAGAGCTCCCTGAAAGGGCTGAGTATTTCAGTTCGCCCTGGGAAAGGCCAGAAATAAGAGCTTTCCAGGCCACAACGTTTTTAGATACATAAAAGTGGTCAGAAACCATATTCAGGGATTTTAATGACCCTCACAAAACTCTCTGCAGTTCAGGTTGTGGCTTGGCAAGCAGAGAAAAAAAGAATGACCTCAAATAAAAGTGTACACTATGTCCTACCCCCAAATATCGCAAATCCGTCATTTCGCTAACCAGTGTGAACGCACCCCGGTGTTCCAGGGTTCAGAAGTTTCCCCCCTGACTGCTTGATACAGCCACAGCCAGATGCCAGCGAGCAATGAAGCCAAAGCAACAACAATTGCAGCAATCAATGCACCACATAGAAACGCACAGCAACACAGGCCTCCCTTCCCCCTCTCGCTCTGGCAAGGGAGCACCGGTGCCGGATGACATTAACGGCTGCCAGCTGGGCAGAGCAAGTAGGTCAAGAGCATCCCTCCTCCAAGAGTTTTCTTTGCTAAATATTGTGCTAACAACTGCATTACTGCTCATCAGGCCAAGGCTCTAAAACTGGTGTTAGAAAAACCCTTCCCATGATAGCAGAGGTCAGGTTTTCCACCTTCAGGTTGAGCAAAACCACCGATCTTTGATATAATCCCTCTTGATATTAAAATCTGCACTCAGGCCCGTCCTGATTGCACGAAGCAGCTTTCACCAGAACAGCTATTACAGCTGGGTAAAAACAATTGATTGAAAACCATGTATTAGGCACTCAGAGTTTAGAAAAACTAATGGAGATTTAACAGACTTACTCTAAAGAATTCTTTGGTTGAGCCTGAATCCAAAGTGCCATAGGCTATTTCAGTTTGTTTAGCCAGGTCCTCTGCGCTCTCTATGGGAGAAACCATCCTTTCCACCGTAAGGAAGGCAGCAAGATTAGCAGTGTAGGAAGAGATAATGATGAGAGTGAAGAACCACCAGACTCCTCCAACAATTCGCCCTGAGAGAGATCTATGGAAAAACAGACATCATCAAAATGATTTGAAGACATTCCTTGGTATTTTGTTTTTCCTTCATTGAACAGAAATTCACATGCACAACCCTTCTGTCCAGGTCCTCCAGTTATCTGTGAGCCAGTTCCTGACAGCCTTCCTCAGCAAAGTCGGTGTGCGCCTGGTCTTACCTGGTTAAACTCTCTCCCTCCAGTCTTTCAGTGAAAACAAGGACAGTCAAATAAGAAATAATACATCTGAACTAACCCCATCTGACGCTTGGAGGGGCACAAGCTCTCCTGACTCCCACAGACCCTTTCCTGGAAAAGGCTTCTGCCAGAAGACTTCTGTCCTCTCTGCTTGCCCAGCCTTTCCCTGAGGTTGCCTGCTGCAACGTGCCAGCACCGTGTCTCTTTGGGACTGCCCAGCTTGGGGGACATGAATGCACCTCTTACTGCATCCACTCTCTAAAAGTAAGAGATGGAGTACACTGCAAAAAGGAATTTGAGGAAACATGCAAAGGAATAAACCAAAAATGATCCGGTATCCTCTCATAACAACCTAGCAGGAATTACTGAACGTCCACATTGAAGTGAGGCTGGTTTGTTTTATGTTAATTAAAATCTGCATATTGAACTGTTCCCAGTCAAGCGTATTCCTGCTTTATAACCACCAGAGCAAGAAACAGAAGAAAAATTGTGTTCTGGTTTTGTTGTGTTTTGTGTTTTTTAAAAGGATAAGATCAGGCCTAAAAAAAGCCTATTTGTAAACATATAATTACAAAATGCCCAGTGGTCAGGAGGTCTAGATCCTGTCAGCAAGAGCTCTTGATGCTTTAAAGCAATTGAATGTCAGGCTCAAAATATCTGTTCAGGGCTGAAGGACGCAAATGCCACAGCGCTCGGGTGGGTGGGGAATTTCACCACCATGTGCAGTGCTCACTCTTCAAACACAGCATGTTGACCAGGAATCATTTCAGGAGCTGAGACAAAGCTATTTCGTGTGTTTTCCCTTAGCTCCACTGATACCAGTATAGGAAGTATCAATCCCAGATACATTAAATCCGTGGAACCTGGGTGCTGTAGTCCTCAGTTTGTGTGAACGGAAGAAACAGAAAGCCAGAAAACTCTTACCTGTTTGTTTCCTTCAAGCCCCTCAGTGCCAGCCCCAGACAGTGGGTACAAGTTGTCCTACCAACAGATGGAGACGGGAAAAAAGCAAAAGTCTTGCCACATGCCCCCACCCCAGCCACAAGCAGGTTAGCTGGTAAGCTGCTTAAGTCTTGGCCAGAGCCTGAGATTGCCTGAGCCATTAAAAAAATCCCATTGAACTATTAAGAGAAAAGGAAAGAAAAAAATCTACCCAATGTGAAAGAACACATCAAAGAAAAATAATAACCAACACAATAAAAACAGAGAGAGCAATCTGGAATAGGTGACAGGAATGTGGAGAAACAAACTAACAGGTGAATTCTCCACTCTCCTCTGCCCAAGAAACTGAAGCAGCAGCTCCCACTGAGAGGGCAGATGCAGGCTGGTTTCTGTGGGCTACAGCACGCACCCCTGGCCAGCACACTTAGCACCCCAGGGACTGCTGCACCAAGTCCGTGCCAATGTGCAAGGTGGCTCAGGTGGTTACAAAGCTTAGGGAGGCTTGAGGAGTGAAACATCACTTCTTTGAGGTGTGAACTTGGAGAGACATCACCATCGCTCTGGCCTGCATGCGCTTCCTCAGGGCAGGCACACATCTGCCGGATCACCGAAAAGCAGAAGAGGCTTCCCTGCCTTTCTTGAGCGCCTCCCAGGAGGATAAAAGGCTTCCAAGTTTCAACGTGGGCTGTGCTGCAGCTGTGCTCACTAACAGAAGGCTATAGAGTAGCTGCAAAGGTAAGTGGCAGAAATAGATATCCAGAATAACGCAGTAAGTCAAAGAACTCCTCTACTTCTACATTTTTGTAGGTACCACGCATCTTGGGAATTTACAGATGGCTAAAGTCCTTTCTGGCCAGCTCCCCTAACCAGTTAGGGTCTTGACTTTACCTACTTTGTAAAACTCAACACCCTACACGCTGAATCAGCCTCTTACATGGGCTGACGTAACTTCAGCCAGCTACAAAGCAGTGCCTGCTCAACTCACCACGTAAGGCTCCCTGTGGAGCCAGCGGAGAGAAAGAGAGGAGACAGACACCCTCAGAAAGAGATTCACCTTACTTGCTGCAGTGTGGGGTAAGTCTGAAGGTGCCCATCCATCTCATGATTTGGAGGGAACGGAGATGCCTAACTAAAACACAGCCTGTGGCTTTTAGACGGCCACATCAGGTGAAACTAATGCCCCCTTTGTTCATTCTTTCACTACATACTTCCATCTTCAGAGAAGACCTGGACTTGAATTCCTCTCCTCTGCAGTGACATGAAGAGTTTCAAAGCCAGACTGAGTAGAAGTCTGTCAAGCAGGCAGAGCAGGTGAAACATCCACCTGCACACAGCAAGACTGGCTCTATCTGGGGACTCCAGGTTCCCCTGGCCCTCTTGCTTTACAGTAGGTCTTGAAATAGGAGGATGAAAAGAAGACTTGCCAGGGAGTTTAGATAAATTCAATGGAACTATTGGGAGCAAACCAGTATGTGTTCATTCTCCCTATAGTTTCCCATAGGAAATGTCTTACTTGCATTGTAGCTGTTCCTTCTATTGCAGGACAGATGGGCTGTGCAGAAGACAAGCATTTTCCAAACCACTGAAACCTCAAGCTCACACTGCTGTAACAATAAGAAGTCTGTGTCAAGCTGCGTGCTCATGCAGTGTATTACACAGAGAGAAGGGACAGTATCTTGCCCCAGAGATCTTGCAACCTGCATGGACGAAGTCAGGCAGATACAGGACAAGAGGTGGAGAACAGCTGAGAGGCAGGGCATGGCTGGATCCCTTGACAAAGGAGACACTTCCTTGAGGGGCCTACATGCAAGAGAGGGGTCTTGCTAGATGAGGACCAGAGCTGTTCTCTGAAGAGCGCAGGTCACTTCAAAGAAAACTGGATGCCACTACAGAGTTGTTTCTCCCAGTCTTCCAAAGAGCACGAAAAGAAAGATTAAACAGCTGCTACTATGAAGCAGTCTGGGCTGACACAGCTGTAACTGGTGGTAGCATAGGATGAGGCAAAAGAAAAGCAAAACCAACCACAAAGCTGACACTGAAGGAAAGAAATGCAGACAGAGAGACAAAGAACACGAACACAGACGAGCAAGGCCTGGCAGGCTTCTTGTCCAAAGGACCCCAGTTTCCCCAGTCCATCTGTTGGTATGAAGACTCTTTATACCCACTGCAAGGGCTGGTGTAGAGGGATGCGGGAGAAAAAGGGTTAGTACAGAAACACTGGGCTGGTAATAAGAGAGTACTTGTATGGTTTGTACTGTGAACCACAGAAATGTTCATCCATTACTCAATTATAGAAAAATCAATCACAGCTTTTAATGCCAGCACCACTTTTTCTGATGAAGACATACCTGTCCAAGTGTGCAGTGTTGTAATTTAAAACAAACAACTCATGCTTTATCCCACCATGTCGTTTTCCAAATTACCTCAATAAACAGATACTTTGCAGAACATTATTTTACGTGAATTAAGAGTGTTAATAAATGAGAGGAGTAACAAAGACCTAGAATAACAGAATTAAAACTCAATTATCAAAACCAGGTCAGACAGTGTTTTCAAAAGCAAGTAAACAGGAAGAGTGCATACCTTGAGAGGAAATTTAAAAGGAAGCATGGAGTCAAATGAGAGCAAATTAGTAACAAGAGAAAAACAAAATAAATATTCAATTTCACATTCAGTTTCCAGGAGAATAATGCATTCAAATAAAACTTCATTTATTTATCAAAATAGCTTGCTTTTTTTTTTACTCATGGCCATAAACCATCTTTGATTTCCTATAGTACACAGAAATAATAAGCTTCTCGCACTACTCCATTTTTAATTGGGCTCTTCTGATCGATGCAAGACAGCTGTTACATTGACAAATAACCCTGAACAGCTTTGGTGCAAACTCTCCTTGTCTGGAGCCCCGTCACGTTCTGAGCAGACGTTACCTGGTCCCCACTCAGCCGTGAGCTCAGCCCTGCTCGTGCGCCCAGCCATCCCTCTACCTCTCCTGCCGCCCTCACCTCAGCTCCTGAGACAGAACACAGCAAACCACAGCATCTGAAGTGCTGACTTGAGATGCTTCCATCATAGGAACTGGCAGTGGGAGTTTCAGAAACGCCTAGCTACCCAGCCCTCACTGCTGTTTTGAAAGTCCCACAAAGTCATTCCCATGGCCTTTAATAGGAGTCTCTTGAGTCTTCTGCTGCGAAAACAGGGATCTAGAAATACACTCTCTTAAATGACCAACCCCCTGAGATAATTTCTAATGAACTCCCCTGTCTTTTTCCATCAGCAATTAATTAATCTAGTCTCTTTGTTCCACATGAATAAAGAACAAAATGAAAATACATGCTCTTACGGAGATTTCAAAGATACTTTCGCTCAGAACAGTGTTACAATTTGACTGTGTTTTCTCCTGATTCCATTTGCTGTACACATCTTACATTAAAGCAAGTTTAATAATCTACTTTTGATCCATCAAAAGTGAATTTTCAATGCTTTAGCTCACTCTGCAGAAAACACAGCAGCCTTTGATAGCAGAACAAAACTGCTGGAACAAATGTTGATTCCATCAAGGGATGCTCTAACCCCCATCCTTTGGCTGCTATCTCATTCTGTTTAGACGACTCCTATTAAATACAGAGAGGAGAGTATAGGGATATATCCTCTGGAATATCCACACAGCATACTCACCGAGGACAGATCTAACTAGTCATTAGATGTCACAGCTGTTCCACACAAAGGCAGCTGAAAGAGCCTTTATCAGCAAGTACAAAAGTGATCTCTCCAGACTGCTTGTCGGCATCTCTCTACAAGTGCTGTATGCTCTCATGTAAGAAATTTATTCAGACAAAACTCACAATGGAAGAATGAAGCCCCTTTTAATGGCAATAAAACAGTATGAAACATTCATGTAGTCAATGTACTGTGAATGACGTAACCTTACAAAGATATGGATTAAGAATGGAATACTTGGGCATAGTCCCTTCTACGGAAAAGAAATCTGACATTCAATCAACTTAAATCAACATATCAGTCAAAGGAGCAGCGCTTCTGGAATTTAAACCAAGGTATTAAATTTGTCTTTTTTCCAGTAACAATGCATGTAACTGCCTCGAATCCGTTATCATGAAAGATAACAAAGTAACTGGACAATGCCTTCAAACGAGGGCCATGTATTAATACTGAGCTAATAGCTTCTGATGGACAGATAAATAGAATTACTGCTGTCACTTTTTTTTGGTAAGTATTTGCAAGGCACTTTATCATGGTAGTACTGAAATAAAACAGAATATGTTCCACTCATTACATAAGGTAAATGGCTGAACATGTCAAAGAATCACATGAGAGCTTAGCAAAAATCCTATGCACTTCTATTTAGCTGTCAATAAACAGACCCAGCGGAAACAGCGCAATGCCTGCAGCTTTCCATGTGATGTCCCAGTGCTTATTTCCCGGTCCTTTATATTGGGCACACACATGGTCAACAGCAATTTAAATGTTAGCACTACTCATTGCCGTTAAGAGCAAGCAGAGAGGCAAAGTTTCTACACAGAATTGAGGCATAAAGCAGAAACAAGGTATACAAACAGGGGGAGAAGGCTCACAGCTGTAACTATGCAGGGAGGCAGCACACCCACACACTGGTAACTGCAAAAACTAACGCATGGTCATATCCAGCCAAAAATGTGTGCGTGTTTTACACAGGATATATACGCATCTGTCAGTAAGTATGAAACCTGATCGCTGCTATCAAAGCTTTTAAAACACACGTATGACTTGCATCAGATACCAACAGGCATACTCCAGTACCTCGGAAAGTCCTGGATTTTGCTGCAATCCTTAAAAGATCTGAATGTGCAATGACTGTGAATTTATAGGATCATTGTTATATTATAACAGGTAAAATAATGATCCTTTCCACGGAACTTCACAGAAGTTTTGTCACTTGCTTCAGCGAGGTGACTCGAGATCCCCAGCACTATATGGACCAGGAAAACCTGGAAACTTTTCAACGACTCAGGCATTAAAAAAGGTACGCAAATGTGGAGGTTGACAAGGTGTATTTTGAATATAAGTGCTCAGTTAGAAAAGATGACTTGCTTTAATTAGCAACCTTGTCAAAGGGAACAACTGCATCCGGTTTGTACTAAGGAGGTATTTTTAATAATTAAAATAGCTTTAGGTTATTAAAATACTGTCATACAAAATATAGATAGTGCTTCATCACTAAGAAACGAGGTAATTTTACTGCTTATCACAGGCACATCACTAAAGTATTTTACAAGTGTAAATGTAGAAGAATTATATATATTATTAAAAAACATTTTTGGTATGCATTGTTCAATTAGAGAGAACCTCCCTATTCGCAGGTGGTTTTCAAAATGCTTCTTTAAAAAAGAAATATAGTTCTACAATACTTAACACCAGTGCTCTCTGTTAAATTGGAACCAATATCAAACATGTTTTACTACAGCCTTATTCAGAAATACTGTCTTCATGAATAAGGAAAATATTTGTGGAAACTGGCAATGCTTATTGGACCATACTGACTGTGAACACAGGGACAACAGACTAGACTGCACTGAAATAACCACACATGTACAGGGTAGCATGCACTAACTGTTGGAGAGGCTCACATGGAGACCTGAACATAGGAGAGACAGAGGCAAGCAAATTAGTAATGGATGAAAGGATGCTTTGGGAAGAACAAAACTAGAGAAATTAGGCACAAAAGAAAGTAAAAAGGCTAGCAGAAGTCATGAAGGGAGGGGAGGTGTTTTAAAGTGCTGTTGCATGTGACTTTTAAAATAAAAAATTCTTATTTTGCAAAGCAGATTATGTTATATGCACCAAGGAGATGACCGTAAAATGAGATATGCAGCAAAAACACGGTAGCCCTCCAAGCATTGCCGAAAACAGAAAACCCCATGCATTTTACAGCCTCAACATGGTGTATATAAGTTCGGCAGAAATGCATAAATGTCATTATAAGGCAATGCCTCTCTGGAGGTGAATGTTAGCAAGAATGGTGGCTGGATGATGATGCTTAGAATTGAATGGAATGTCAAAATAAAAAAATTGGAATTAAAAAGAAATTTGGAAAAGTAACATATATGCACCATGGCATCAGAAAATGACCATAAAATGCAAAAAGGTGATGGAGTGATATGGAACAAACCTTGGAGAAATATCGCATCCTTGCTGCATAAAGGCACCCAGGGAAAACCAAAGGCTGTTAAATATTCCAAACTCATTTGGAGGGTCGGGAGGATTCTGAGGGTCGCGTGGTTCTTCATTGCTGTCTTCCAAGTGCCATTCGTAAGGGCTGAATCTGCTGACTAGGAAAAGAACCACGCTGACGCCAATGTAAGCAAAGACTATACACATCCAAATTTCATAAGCCAAAGGATCCAGGAAAGAGAATACGCCTGGTTTTGATTTCTGAGGCTTCTTGATCATGATGGAGATGCCTAGGCTCATAAAGGGCTTGGAAAAGTCTATGACTTCTTCTCGCACCAATGTTATGGTGAGGGGGGCAACAGCTATATCTGCTCTCTGAAAAGGGAAAACAAACCCAAGTTAGTCACAAAACAGTTGCAAGATAATCACAATCTAGTCTCTGGCTAATGAATCAGATGATAAATTACAAGACCCAGCAGGAAAAATTTTCTTTGCGGCCTATTTTGTATCGACTGAAGTTAAGAATTACATGATACTGATAGAAAATTATTAACAAGAAAAATCACAATCAAATCTGTGCAAGGGCCTCACAATGGAGGCAAATATGTACCAACATGTATTTATGTTTCTATTAAGTTAAAACAGATGAACAAACACTATGCAAACTAGACAGTGAGATGGCAACTAAAACCATGTCGTTTTCTAGTAATGGTCTGCATCCATCCATGAAGACTTTGGGCAAATCATGTGTTTGCTCTATTTAATTTTCACTTTTCCATTCTTTCAGCAAGTTCTCTTGCCTTACTGATTAGTCCAGGATCTTTAAAAGGAATCTAAGACAAGCAATCAGTCACTGAATTTCAGCTGCATTTGGGCGCTACCACTCGTATACTCCTTTGAAATCTCATTGCAATAAGGGATAAGAGATGGTTAAAATAGTGGGGAGATAGGAAACAGACAGCCCACCCTTTCTGTGGGCACTGAAGAAGAGTAGTACAGATCTGTGAGTCCCTGAGAAGTAAATAGCCTTGGTTATCTGAGAAGAATACAAAGTAGTATTTTTCAGTACAATATATGCCATTCTATTTACACAGAACTTCGCTCTATAGATCTGTAACACAGACCTTGCTCTGCGGCTGTGTCATCTGGAAGCACAACCTCATCTCATTGCATCTGTCATTCACCAGGGTGCTGGTATACCCTGAACCAATACCCTTCCCTTCAATCAATATGTCTTTGCAGGATGTCATGGGAGGGTAAGAATATGAAGTAAAAAAAATTACTTTATTACCGGATTAAAAATAACATTTCAGAATAGATTTGCAACATATTTACCTGTATCTGCATTTCTATGTCAGAGAGATTCAAGTCAGATAATGATGTTTAGATAACGTAGCCTTGACTCAGCCAAGTACTCAAGCAGGTATCTGTATTGTTATGAGAGTCTGCATACCTACATACACCTTTTTTTTGTCTTTTTCTATTTTAAACACTCTAACTATTCATGTTATTGATACTTATAAAGATAGTCCTTTGTTGGTAATGAAGAATTTCAGAAAGAAAAAAAATGATTCTTAGGGAAAGTTTAACTAACCAGTACCTATACCACTGTGCACCTTTAAAATCAGACTTTTGTTTCCCACTAGTAAGTATGTATCTCTTTCTGGTGGAAAAATAAAACTTGATAAAGTAGAAGTTTGAATAAAAGTTAATAGGAAATGTTAATAAGAAGAGATTAAAATCTGTGCCATAAAATAATTGAATATGCCTTTATGTAAATCTGATGGTGATGTACATGACTTTCATTAATATCTGATTTGTTTCCTCCTACACAGTTGGGGGTTTTGTTGGGTTGGGTTGGTTGTTTGCTTTTTTCCTAAGTTTAATAAGCAGAAATAAGGGTAATCTCAGGATCACACACTGTGTGCCAGCTGGTGCCTCCGTGGCACTGTGCAGCCATGCCTGAGGCACTTTTTTGGTGTGTTAAGACTGAGGCCTGGCCCTCTAGGCCTTTCCCTCAGCGAGCCTCCCTCCGTGAAGCTCCTGTCTGCAAACATGACCTCTAGGTTTGCTCCAGCCACTCAGAAATATCTCTCAACAGTTTGTACTGACATGTGCAACGGCAAGGTATATGTACAATTCAGTGCTTGGAATAATCAGATAAACCATGCCTGTGCACGTAAGGAAGCCATTCGGAAATCATGGCCCTTGGTGTACCCACAGTCCTCCTCAGCCCCTTCAGACATTCATGCGTACTGGGATATTGACTTTCCCCTTGAGTGACTGCTTTCCTGAAGGAGAAAACCCTCCCCTGACTTGTGGTTACTTACTGCAAAAATCAAGCTTAATGTGGCTTGTATATAAACATGGAAAAACCCGGCTGCCTTTGGATGTCTGCGTATTTACTGGCTTTGCAGATGAATGTGTTAATCACCTAATGGAGAAAGTCAGGGAGACATGGGTAGAGTGTGGCAAAGGAACCAGATGATACTGGCACTTGTTCACTGACGAATTCCCTCAAAACATATTTGTCTTGTAGCTGCTGCTTGCTGAGCTACTGTTAAATATTAGATGTCTGCAGTAAGTATGAGATGCACACAGAATATCAGTTTTAAATGTAGTCAGAGTTGGCTGGAAGACTGAGCACTTTGACCGTGGCTACTGTATTCTGTGTTGAACTAATGAGGTACTTACAAATGAATCCTTATTAGTTCAAGTTTAACGGATCAGGACCTCTGCAGAGACTCCGCAATGATTCCACGTGAAGCGATGCTTAGGTGGGAGGCAGATGCCTTATTGCCTGGCACTTCTGCTTGTGGATAGCCAGCCTTGGAACAGCTCATCGAGGCAGAAAAGGGCTGGTTCAGCTATAAGAGCATTTAGTTTCTGTAGCATTTTCCTGGACTTGGAGAAATTTAATTCTCCCAAAGCAATATTTTAATTACTAAAGTAGACACAGTGGAGCTCTTTCTAGGTGCTGATGCAGCGTGCAATAAAGTCTGTATCTCCTTCATGAGCAGCTGAGTTCATGCAGGATGTTCCTGTGGCATCTTTGGGGAGATGAAGCTGATGCTGTGCTGAATAAATCAGTTTTTAAAGGCCTGACTGTTACCATGCCCTCATTCATATCCTCCAGCATGGATTTATTTGTAAATTATTTAAAATTGCATTTTAATCCTACAAGGGATATAAATATTTATTTTTCTGATACACTTCTGTCTTCCTGCTTTCCTACCACTTTTGATAGGCATTCAATATATTGAAAGCACCAACAAACGCTCCCATGCCTTAAATGAGTATGGTAGCAATTGTTTTCTGCAGAGGGAACAAGCATGGCTCAGACACAGGGTCTCAGGAAACCATCTACAACCAGGGCACTGAGAGTGGACCACCTACAGCCCAGCACCTGAGCCTGGTTCTCCTCCACTTCCCTGAATATTAGTTGCACTAGAGAGATTAAAAACCAGAATTTTCTTCTCTTATTTGTTTAGAGATACAGTACTTGAAATTGAGAGCTTATGGAGAACTCTAAGCACCCTAAAGGACCATTAATAACTGAAGCACAGTTGTGAATTTCCCTCCCTGTTATGGCTGCAGATAAGCAGAACCTACCAAAATTGAGCTCGATTAAAAAGAACACAATCACAACCACAACCATGCCCTTCCCTGTACAGAACTGGAGGGGGGTTTAAGAACCTCAACAACTAAGCTTTGCTAATCACTCATGACTAATGGCGTTTCAAACATCATCTTCACTGCATTTGAGCTGGGTGAGAAATGTCATGGATTCCTCTGAGGCTTGTTCTGTCTTTGCCTACTAGTGTGGGAGGGACGGATTTAGAGAGGACAGGCAGCACAGAGGCACTACCCACTCTGCTCAGATCTGACCCCAGGGGGCTGCAAACCCCAAGACTCTTAAGGGGAAGGAGAAAAAGTAGAAACTGGAAATATTCTTCTCCATGGAGAAAGAAAAACGATAAGATGTTCCACCTCTGTAATCCAAAAGTAAGGCTCGAATTCTTCTCCTTACAGATCTAGAGATGAGTCTTCCTAACTTCAAAGCCATGCACCAGAGACAGCAAGAGATACCGGCTATGCTCCTGCCTCTACATGCTTGCAGAACTGAACAACGTCTTTGCTAGTGTGCCACTTTCCAAGAAGCAGGTCTGGCCTACAGCCACTTTGGAAGACCTCTGTGTGACGGGAAGTCAGCACTCAGACCACATGCAGACTTGAAGCAGAGGGACACTGCCCCACTTTTATTGGGAGCCAAACCTCCAGGCACCCCAGCAGTGCTGAATGCAGGTACACAGAGGTGTCAGAAGAGACTGTGCTGGAATGAAGACTGACTCTGAGGACATTTTAGGACTTCAGTGCAGTCTGAGGTTTCCAGGCATCAGAAAAAGGTGTCAGACAGAGCAACACACCACCTGTGGTATCTGCTGGTAAAAGCTACCTTGTAAAGAGAGTCAAGTATACTGAAGGATATCAGGGTGTGTTGAGAGGCCAGGCCATGAGGGCAATTCATTTTTAACACATTAGCTCACACTTACTTAAAAACAACAGATGCTATCTGACTAGCAACATGCTGCATTGAAGTCTTAATGTGTATTAGCTAAGCAGTGTAAAAAGGTATTGAGGTGTTAAAACTGCAGTTGGCCTTGTCTGCCATAGTCTGTCAATGTTAAGTCCACGTGTGCTTTATGTGGATGCCCACAGTTCTGACACACCACTACTGTATGCAGATAGAGAAATTAAGGGTACATCTGCATTTTCCTCTCTCTGCTCGGATGCAGGTCAGCCAAAGTTGGGGATCATGCCAGCATGGCTCTGGGCCAGGGCTGTGGTCCTGTCCCCCTGTGTGGTGCGGTGCCACCATGGCTCAGCAGCTGCCTGGGCTGGGACCCCGCATCTGTCCATGCATGTACAGGACATTGAGCCACAGGACAGCTGCCTTTGGGCACCTGTACCTGGGCTTCTGTCCTGTAGAAACCAGGGCTGAGGGGCGAAGGGTGAGTTTTTCCTGCTCACAGCACAGTCTGGCTCTCCTACAGGCTAAGAGCACATAGGAAGTTTTGGGGAGAATTAGGAATCAAATCAGCCTTCCTCTCCGCTGCGATTCAAAGGCTGTATGTGCCATCTGTAGTCTTCTGTTGCTGGGAGAGGCAGAGAGGCCAGCACCATGCGAGGCCGGTTAGTCTGTTCAAGGCAGGGACATGTGTAGGTGGTCCCATTCTGACAGACTGTGGAGGCTGCCTGCATTCAGAGGACTGTCTGTCCTTTACATCCCTGCTTCATTCCTTTAAGCTATTTTACATATTGAAAGGCTTTTATAAAGACCTTTTTTTAGCTGAGGAGAGTTTTAAAGGATGTAAGGTCTGGCTGCTCTTTCCACTCCCAAAGCATTTGTAGTTACAATTAAGATCTGTGTTAAGCCTACTCTCAATTAGCCTCAGCGACGTGAAAAGCATCAGGCCCAGGGAGGGAAGGCTTTCCCTGGGTGAACAGTGGAGGAAGAACAGCAGTCTGCTTTAAAGAAGAAATAAAAGCCTACAGAAAGAGGCTTACCCTACCGAAGAGAAAGGACGACTGCCAGCGATTGCTGGTGGGCACAAAGCCCCGAGCATCAGATTCGCAGGGTGTGCGCAGTGCAGGTGCTGCTGCTTGTCAGCGTGAGCCGAGGGCTCGGCGACGTTAGCGGGTGCAGCGCTGCAGGACAGCGCTCGCTTTGCTGGCCTGCTCTGCCGGTTACACTTAAATAGCGATTCAGCCTGATAGACCGAGAATGATCGAGCTACTTCCCTCTTCTAAAACGTCCAGGAAAAGTGCTTTGCCTATTCGCTATTTTTGTTCTCTCAAAAGTTTCCACTATGCTTTAGAAATTTATCTTATTTTCAGAAAATAATAGTGCTTGAATTGGTAATTTTTTTTTTCTGGTAGGAAGAAGAATCTTATTTTGGCACCATCAGAGTGAAAGCGCAAGATTACGGTTTTCTTCAACCTGAAACGATGTTTTTTGATTTATGAAAAATCAAATAAATGTCATTTTTATGTCAAATTTAATTATTGTAATTATTAATTATAATGACTATTATTACTACCACTGCTACTACTACCAACATTTGAAAATTGCTAACAAACCACGAGGCCTTGTTAGCTCCTCTGGGTTCTCCTGCCTGAAGCAAAGGAGTTTGGGGATATCTGCTCTGCCAGAACTCCCTGCCTCCCTATGCTGCCAAAGGGCCAGCCCTTCTCTGTAACCAGGTCTGTTTGTACAGCCCATTGCAAAGCCACAAGGAAACGTCCAAGAGGGACGAGATTGTCCTCGACTTTGGGGGGCCCTATGGCACAGCAGACTTGTGTGCCCTCCAACCAGCCCTGATGTGATATGAGACGAGAGGGAGAATTTATAATGGGAAGTGTTTTAGTGTGCCTATGCCCAGGCAATGTGTAATTCTCGGGACTACTCATTAGCCCAGTTAATGCAGACCCCCGGGTAGTCTTACACCAGGGCCAGGGCTGTGCCAGGCAGCCTCCAGACCCACAGTGCCGTGACACCATCCCCTGCCACTTTGGGTACAGCTCAGTGCACACTGAGTGCCCTCCCAGCCCTCCATCGTCCTCACCATTCAGAGCCCTGCACTGCAGCGGTCTGGGGGCGGAAAGGACCCAGCTGCACTTTCTCTCCTGACTCTATGCTGCATCCCACAGGAAGCAAGAGTGACAGTAACAATGAACGGCACAAACTCAACATTAATCACAGTTAATTAGGGGTTTGGCATTAAAATGACAAGCCATTCACTTCCTATGACTGTCCTAAGAGCAATTTTAGAAAAGAGTTGTATGCATGAGGCTATGCAAAAAAAAAGCACAGTATTCAAAAAGCCTGGTAAGACTTCCCAGCAGTGCCAGGTGGTGGTGAGAACCTCGTTGGGTCAGGAATATGCTGTACTTGACAGATGAGTAGTCACTCTTTATCGCTCCAGACAAATACAATCTAAAAGACTGTGTTTTCTGCCACAGCTCAGTCCAGCTGCTGGATAACTGGTACCAAAACCAATCAGGCCCCTTTTATTCCCCCATGCCTGTCTTCCATACAAGCTAATAAAGGCATTTAAAACCTAATCTCCCTCTTGTCCTCCCAAAATGGAATCCAGAGGAGCCAAATACAACAGTCGTATTGCAGACAAGGCTCACAGGAGCACTAGGGGTAACGTACAGTTTTAGTTCCCTAATAGAGTTTTAAGCCCATGAGAGATAAAGGAAAGTCAGAACGTAAATGAGGCGCTTGCTCCAAATAATTACCACTTCTAGCACTTTTCATCTTCAAAGGCTTTGTGCACATCCTTGTGAGTGTGGTACACAGCCACCTCTCAACAAACGGAGAAAGAGGCCAAGGGTATTTAATGACATTTGCAAACAGGGCTGGGAAGGGGTCTGGAGCGATGGTGAAGTTTGTACTCAGAGTTCAGGGGCTGTTTTTCCTGCTTGCAGAAAGCCAGGTGAATTTCTGCACCGCCTGCCAGCTCAGAAGTCCAGCTCTGCAGGACGGGGAGCCAGCTCAGCAGCGCGGGGCTGTAAGCATTAACCTGGGTCTACAGTCAAACCTCATGGGATGCATCTGACCTTTGAATAATTGAGCACTGCAGTGAAGAGGCTTCAGTAACCGAGCTTGCAGCATGAGAAGAGGAGCTGTGGGGGGCTAGGGAGGGAAACATTCCTCAATTTTTCATTAATGAGAAAACACAGATGAAAACTGTCCTTCAGAATACAAAGGAACAGACCTTTTTGCAGGAGAAAACTACAGTAGCGGGGTGGGTTTGGAGTTGTTTTAAGGTATGCTCTCTGGTGACTGTGAGGCTAGTTTTTGCTGGTGTGGAAAGGTCACGAGAATGGCTGGGTCAAGGGGAAGGGCCAGGGTTCAGTTGGATGCTGAGGAGGCAGCTCTCTGAGCCAGGCTTGTCCCAGGGGGTTGTGGAAACGGCAGCTGCAGCCAAACTGTTTATCACAGATTCACAGATGGTTTGGGTTGGAAGGAACATTTAAAGGTCATCTACTCCACCTCCCCTTGCAAGGAGCAGGGACATATTCAACTACATCAGGTTGAGCAGAGCCCCATTCAACCTGACCTTGAATGTTTCCAGGGATGGGGCATCCACCACCTCTCTGGGCAACCTGTGCCAGTTTTTCATCCTAAAAAAATTCTTCCTTGTATCTAGTTTAAAAACATTATTCCTAGTCCTATCGCAACAGACCCTATTAAAAAGTTTGACCCCGTCTTTCCTGTAGGCTCCCTGTAAGTACTGGAAGTCTGCTGTAAAGTGTCCCTGGAGCCTTCTCTTCTCCAGGCTGAACAGCCCCAACTCTCTCAGCCTGGCCTCACGGGAGAGGTGCTCCAGCCTCTGATCATTTCTGTGGCCCTTTATCCAGATGGATCTTGCATCGTCCAGCAGCTGCACAGACTAATCTTACATGGCTCCAGTCCCAAAGGCAGTGGCCCATACCACCATCTACACCTCTCCTCCTCTGGTTTAGATTATCCCTGTGCCCTGGCTGCTCGTGGTAATCTCAGGTTCTGTTTTGTCATGCATTTTGCATATGAAATGATTATATTTTTAAGTGGATAAACTGTTTCATTGCTTGCCACTTGCAAATAAATCAAAAGGACCCAATTACAGCTAATACTCTTGATATTTCTTGAACCACACAGAGGGAAACTGAGGGTTTAGTTTTTCCACTGCAATGTAATTGTATTTGGAACTAAACTAAACCTTTGCTTCAGAGGTTCTCAATGTACTTGTGTTCTCTAAGAGAGGTAACAACGGTTTCACAAACTGTGTAACTGAGGCCTGGGGAGTTCTGAAGATTGGCATAATGTCAAACCTCAATGCAACAGGGAAGCAAAGATATAACCCAGGTTCAGACCCCTGCTTACTGTCTCTTATCAGTAGATTTCCCTTCCTCCCCTTAATACAGTACTGCAAAAACACTGTGGCTTATATGAACTATTTTGAAGTGAATAGGCTACCAAGTATATAATATATATTGCTTACAATAATATAAGCATAATGATATATAAGAAGAATAATATTTAATTACATAATAAGGCATCAGGACTGACTGCTCCAGAATAAGAAAACTTTTGCAAATCTAGAAATGACTTTAAAAAGAGATTCATTTGAAAAGAATGACCTCACCAAACATTTTGCAAGAATGATGGTATGTTATCCCAAGGAAATTTTGAGGTGACTTTTAGAAATTGCACTCAGCCATGGAACAAAAGGAGGCAAAGGAAATATTCTCTTCAGCTCAGATATTTTTAATAAAGGAAAGCTTGTTAAAAATAAACTGTAAAGAAGATTTGGGCAGAATCACAAATTATCTCATTAGCATTTGGGGAAAAAGCAAAGATGAAATATCAGCTTGTAAAGTCTTTTTCTGTAAAGTTCATTGTCACCCCCTTCCATCTGGTTTATCTGCATTCAAAAATTCCCATTTTCAAAGAAGTTTCTAAAACGGCAATTCCGGACTGTTTTTGTTCTTACTAAACAAAGCAATGTACACCCAATATAGAAATATAAAGAGGAATGCAATGAATTAGCCTTTTTTTTTCGTCTGACAGTTGATTTTTAAAGCCAAACACAGGGTTTTAAAAGGAAAACGATGTGGGTGATTTCACACCTGCACTGCTTCTTACTCTGAAAAGCAACCGTGGGGCTAACTGAGTCTTTAGTCTCTGGTCAAACACAAACTGACATCCGTGATCCAGCAAGGGCCAGCATCACAGGATCAGATCTCTAACGGGAGGAGCACCCCCTCAGCACTTACGAGACCGATAAGAGAAAAAGGAGACACAGCAAATACAAGAGCAGTATATGAAGGGCCAACTGGAAATTCTGCTGTAGATAAGAATTTGAAATTTGCCCAATGCCATTGCTCAAAATTTTGTGAACTCTGATTAGGAGAACACCGGTAAAAAAGTGACACTTTCCTGCAATGAAAAGATTAGAAAAGGAGGCTATAAAAATGTCACTACAAAGAAATATATAGAATTTTAAAGGTGGTATTCAAACAGACAATCTTTATTTTGCAGCTTATTAACTTTGAGCATAACTTTTTATAAAGAACATTGAAATGAAGGTTAAGAGAAACTTACCCCATAGACCAGTTCACCCACCATGCCATTCCATATCTTAGTCTCAGGGTCCCTAGCTCCATATTTCCCATCTCCAACAATTGACAGTTTGTATTTTATTCCAACATGTTTTGCTATTTCAGAAGCTAAGTCTACACAATATCCTTCATATCTCTCATTCCCTTCTAGTTGTTCATGGTTTTTCTTATACATTACATATGGTGATTCCTTTGAAACAAAAGTAAAGATCAAAAGTCTATGAATGTAAAACACAGCTTTAAAACATACAAAATGAGAGCTGTTATTATCCTTTATATTACTGGTAAGTATTGACAGCATTTCCTGCTTTGGTACAGAAATTAGAAACCCCTGGCTGATCCTACAGCCACACATTCTATTGACTCTAATTCTAGTATGGACCCATTGAAGGCAGCAGGACTATTCCGCTTTAACAAAGTTACACCTTTGTTTGCAGGATTAGGCCTGTTTAGACGGTCAAACAGCATTGCCATAGTAATAATTCAGGTTTTAGTGTTTAAAGAACTGACGTACCCAACACCTGCACCATCAAAACAATTTCCTAAGGCCCCAGTGGCCTAGAATGGGGCTATGATGGAGATATTTTCAAAGCAGCCTAAGGGAAGCTAGGCTAAAATCCTCAGCAGCAATTTCCCTTAGCCTTCTTGGAAAATTCCAGCTGCAATGCTGATTATATCTCGCTAAATCCATAGGAGTATAAAATACAATGCTTCAGGAAACGGCATAAAATTGGCTCATGCTTAGTAGAATTTTTAACAGGCATAAAAGTCACAAACAATACTGTACAGAGCACAGTTGCTACAGGCATTGGGACTGACACAGGTGCTGCTGTTTACGAGACACAGAAGAGCTTTACTCCTTTGGAACTGCATGGACATCGGTCGCTCTGCACCCAGTGCTAGAGCAGTTCCGGTTCTCTACAGGCTTCATTGTGTCACCCCTACGCAGTCCACAGGGGGTGAGTTCACAGGAGCTGTACCTGAGTGAGGTGTGCAAGATTTGACCCTACAGCAGCAAGGCCAGATCCTGCAGTCATTTACATACATGCACAATAACTTCACTTCTGTGAGGCGTTTGACTGAGTTCAAGTGTCTGAGAAGCAGCAAAGTGCAATGTTGAGCTCAGTGGGCTCCTCCTGTGAGTAAAATTATTGATTCACAGAGAAGTTTGCAGGGTCAAGCCCTCAGTACACCTCTGGAAGATACTGAACTTTTCAGTCACTTGAAGTCACAGAGTGTTCAGCATTTGCCTCCTGGCAAGGCGTCTATCACACCTCAGGAGCTGTGTGGCTTATTTCCTAAACACAAACACACTACGAACATAAAACTTACCAAGATGGTAGTGACTACTATAGTTCTGTTCTCCACAGATGAAGTGTCATTAGAGGGCAGCTGATCTAATGCTGGCACAAATCTTTCATATTCGTTCCAATAACCAGCCTAAAAATGGAGATTGTTGCCTCATTACAAAAGTTTACAAGGACTCCGGTGCACGAACTCCTAACAGGAACTGCCAAAACACACCGATCTGTAACACTTATTCATGCAACATTTTTGCCATTAAAGGACTACATTAGCTTTAATTTAATTTCCTTAAAGATACTATGTTCTCAAGCCCACCTGGAAGTAAATACAAGCCAAATTTAAGTGAAAATACATACTAAATTCTCCCTATCTAAATTCACATCATCATGGTGCCTGTGGAATCAATTCTTACATATCCACAGCATAAGAATATACTGTAGACAAGAAAATAAACTGCACAGCACTCTGAGCAGAAGTCCTTGATTTTGAAATGTGTATCCATGTTCTGCTGCAGTTCAGACAGCGAACACAGTCCCTGCAGGCATGCCTGAGCCAGCTTTAGAGCAGATGCACAGACATCCTTAGCAATGCAGGCACCGCAGCACTATCTTCAGTCCGGGATACAAAGCCCTCTTGACCTTCATGCTGCTGTGGCTACACTGTTTTTGTACCTAGTTTTTTACACTAGTCTTTGTACCTCTGCACAACACAGAAGTAACACTTTTGTCTGCACTGTAAACCCAGCTGGATGGCTGGGCCATGTCCAGAGGTATTTTGTTATCAAATATGTGCAGAAGAGTTTAAGGAGTGGTGACCAAGGAGGTTAGGTGCCTGTTGCCAGGTGAAATCAGGGTGATTTATGTGCCTTGGCCACACAGACTCTTCTCTCCAGAGACCCTCTCTATGTAATTACTATGTAGCTATTTTTGCAAATCTGTCCTGAATTTCCCTTTTAACAGGGACCTAGGCAACTATACCACTTAGGATCTACATTTTATTTAGGATACAAGAGAATGAGTAGCAAACCCTAATTGAAACAAAACTTATTTTCTGCTAATTTCAGAAGGTTTCTAAAATACACTGACTCCAGCTCACTACTGCTCCAGGCCTGTTACAGAGAGGAAGAGAAAGATGGAGAGGAATTCAGGAGATAGAGCCGAGCACAGGAACATGACAGCAGGTATTATGCATGGCAGTGGAAAAGCTCCAGAAGGCTTTTAAGGGAAAAAGTGGGGCCTGAAGTTGACATGGAAGCCCGATGAAGATATTAAACATGGTGAGTGGTTTGGTCCAGGACCAGAATAGAATGAGGTTCTTGGGACAGAGATGCAAGGAAAGCAAAAAGGTGAGGTTTCCTCAGGGCCCTGTTATTACAGTGCCTGAGTGGTATTTTTCAGTTTCATTCGTTTGTTGGAATAAATATGCGTGAAGATGTGAAATACGGATGCATATCTTGAAGCTCACCTTCCGTGATCCAGCGGCTTTCATTTCATACACATCAATCGTGTAATTTGTTCTCCGCCCATAGGTGTCGAACTGGATGTTCCCTGTCATTCCTTGTACTTGTACCTTAAGGGAATAAACAGAAAAAAACATTTTAATAAAAGATTCACTTTCCTTTTCCCTCCATTACATTCTGCAGGAACCCACTAGCACTAGCACAATTTTTATCTATATAAGGGATTTGTTGCACTTTTGACACAGCCAGTTCTATTCTTTATAACAAAAACAATCCCCATTCTCTCAGTCTCATCTGTGCATATTCTCTGTTAGTTAGTACTCAGCTGGTGACTCACTATTGAGGAGTGAGCTGCATTTATGTGAAATTAGCCCTGAATGTATGTTAAATGTAAGAAAGACCGATGCCGCCATGCTTAGTAATGCTGGCTTCACTGATACAGCATGGAGAATCCGCGAGGCACACGCAACATTTCACAGAATCACAGAATCGCTCG